ATACAGGAAGGGATTTTACTTGAATGAGAGATGATTAGTTGAAGTTCATAATTTAACATACCTAAACTCATTAAATATTATAAGCATTCTATTTTTCAAATTCTATACAAACCTCAAACTGTTTTCGTTTATTTAACTTTCGTTTGATTATCAAAAAATGAATAATATCAATAGTTGAGATCATTAGTCAATTAAAGCTAGAACACCATGGAAAACCTGGAAGCACTTGACGGTCGTTTCGTCCTATTGTGGGACTCCTCAGCAGTGCGCATCCACGAGATTCGAACCCAGTACCTATCGGTCTCGTAATTCCACGTTTTTCATAGTGGTCTAGCTTCAATTGACTCATGATTTCAACTATTGAAATTACTACAATCTCCACAAAACCCCTTCTGAAATGAAGAATAATTAAATATGGGTTAAATGTTATGTATAATGAATCCAAGAATTTGATCATTCTTATTGTTCAAAAGACTAACTATATAAACTGTTTTGTCTGAAAGTGTAAAATGTTCATTTGGTGATTTTCAAATGTGTCAAATACAAGTCGCCTAACTAACCGTATTCTTTAACTTCTAATTATAATGTATAAATTCTACTGTACCTTTTTGATAGGCACTAACTGTCTGGATACATGTAATTTTTGAGTTATTATAATTTATGTAAATTATACAGACTTTATTTATCATTCAGAAGGTTAGTTTATCTGTGAAGTTTATTGGAAAAACTTAACTTTTAGTAAAATAGATTATTCACAGAGATACTTTATCTTTAGAGTAGTGAAATTTCTATTACTTTTCAAGTGCGCAGTTACCGAAGTTAAAGTTCAAGTAGCAAATAGTAAATTATTTTGAGTTAATTTAAAATCATCGTCAAAAATTATCTAAATTTGTGTGGAGTATAATCATTACAACATTGGATGATCTTAAAGAGGTAGAATGTATTTGTAAAATTTCAGCGAATGAATTTAAAGTAAATTCAACGTTTCGCCTAGGAATCTGGTTCAAGCTTTTTCAAGGAAACATAATCAAACATTAAAATTATCGAATCTAAATAGGTACATGGTTCACTGTATACTAAATAGATCATCCAATCAACGTTAACAATGTTTGAATTAGGTATTTGCTTTAGTGTGTATGAGATATGTGATGTGAAACGAAAAGTGTGTTAAGATAACAGATTGTATGTATACGTAAGTGGTGTGAAAAGAAATTTCATTCATTATATATTGTCTCTGGTCGGTGAATTTTCAGGAAACATACAATTTTTATATCTGATATAAATCAAAAATGTCACAGTATACATAAAATAAAGATAAATAAACAACATAAAGGAATGAATTCAAAGAGAATGTATTTGTAACTGAATTTAAATGAATGTTTATGCTAGTTTTTTATTGTTCCGGTTAACTGTTTAACATATTCAGATAAGACAACTGATTAGAACCGTTAAATATAATTGCTGCCATTCAGATAATAAACAATAGATAAAATGGAATAAGGAGTTCAGGTTTATTTATTAATTATTAGTTGTCATAGGACAACTAATCGTATTCCAACTCTCTTATTAAAACTGTTTGGATTTGCCTCTCATTAAGTCGTCACCCAAATACTGTGTAACTATTCGATCAAATTTAGATAAAAGTTCTTATATTGGATGATCATATTTTAAATGTTTGATCGGGCGTTTATATCCTTGAGATAACAGATATATTTTTCTGAATATTTCCGATGAGTTCCTATGGGCCTGATTATAGTTCCCTTTTACTTAAACCATTTACCTTAGTGATTGCTACTGATCAAAATTGATCAACACTGAAGGCTATTCCACATAAAATTAGGCATCAAATAAGTGACTATGCAGTTTAAAGTCAATAAATCAATCATCAGCATAAAGGAATGATGTATATTTTCTGTTATAAAGTTACCTTTGATATTAAAAACCTAACACTACACTGCTCGACTTTACTAATGATAAATATGACTTTCAGTTTGGAACACTGTAATTATTTATTGACGTTTCTTGAAATGAGTTATCAGTGTATCTCATTTCAGTATCATCTTAGTTGTTAAACCATCTTCTAGTTCTTTCCAATTGCATAATGAAACTACTTTCAGAAATATCAGTTTAGGTGTTGTGGAGATTATTAAGTTTTTGATTGAAATCATGAGTCAATTGAAGCTAGACCACCATGGAAAACCTTGAAGCACTGGACGGCCGTTTCGCCCTATTATGGGAATCCTCAGCAGTACGCATCCATGTTCCCGCACCCCGCGAGATCCGAACCCAGGCGCCAGGGGCTTAACTAACTAGACCACTGAGTCGGCATCCAATGGTGTTAATGTCTAACCTCAACCAATCCACGAAATTGTGCGACCATCTTCTATTGTACTGAGGTAGACACCTGTTTCTACCCAACACGGATTAGCTCCACTGGTCACAGAAATATGATCAGAAATATGATTCTCATTTACTTTCTTTCGAATTTTCTCTATTTTTCATATATTAAGGAGTTATGTTATATAGATGCTTTGACTTTATAATCATCTTTAAATATCCGAAAATTCATGGTGCGGGATCGTGGATGCGCACTGCTGAGGAGTCCCATACCAGGACGAAACGGCCGTCCAGTGCTTCCAGGTTTTCAATGGTGGTCTAGCTTCAACTGACTCATGATTTCAACTTGATAAATAGAAAACTTGAAAGTTTATGTGTGTTTTTTTTCCGAATGACAAAAGTAATTAGAAATGTTAATTGAAAATAATACCATATTTACTAATGTGTTCCTTATTCATTTTGTCAATATTGAATGAATTCACTTTAATTCATGAGAATCAGCACACTATTAATTGTTAGGACATTTATTATTCAATAATAATAATAATAATAATAATAATAATAATAATAATAATAATAATAATAATAATAACCTATTTGCATCCTGTAATCAGTTATGTTAAAATTACATAGTTGATATAACAACTAATAAATTATTCATATTTTTTTATATTTTCCTTTCTATCCATTTTAATATTCCTACTTTAATTCAGATCTTACTTTAGGACATTTTCGATTGTGTATGTGTGTGTGTGCATATTTCAGCTTGAGTATATGTATATGTGTATGGATGTAGGTGACATTTACTTTATTCACTTTGATATTTGTTTTTATATTCTACAAAAAATAATACTCTGAAATAGTTCCATAGTTGTTTGATTTTATAGTAGACGAAACTATGCAAACAGTGTTTTTGTTGTTTGATCATATTCTCAATAATAATAATAATAATAATAATAATAATAATAATAATAATAATAATAATAATAATAGTGATGATAATCATAATGAGATCATAATAGATAAAATAACGTATTCGATTGTCCATTATGCCTAACTGGATGTAAAAATAGGATTTTTCTCCTATTTTTGAGTCTGTTGTTATTTCCCGTTTTGTTTTGTTTTTAGTTTCCTGTCCGAAATATAAACAAAAACAACTGTCGAAAATATTTTATCCGACTCTTTCTGTTTTATATGTTAGAATTCTCTTATTTCATTAAATCTTTTCTAATACACTAATAAGAATAGACTAGGTAAGATTGATACTTTGTTGTTTGAATCTTTTAGTTACTTGAATGTTCCGTTGTTATATAACATTCAATGAGAAGAATATTATTCTGTTTATTTTTTAAACAGAATGTATACAGATGTTATTGTCTCTTTGGTTGGTATGAATGAATATTAGATGAAAAAGATTTATTTATAATCAGTATAGTAAATACTAAAGAAAAATAGCTATTAAGTATAATTACCTAACAAGCGTTTGGTGAAGAAGCTGATAAAATGCAGAGTCATCTGGTAGCACTAAGCAACAATGCTTGGAATGCACTTCTCTCCCTCTAAATGCAAGTTGTTGCTTCAAGACTGGCCTGCATCAACACCTGAACTAAGGAAAGGAAGTGAAGTAATAGAATGCGTTGACAACTTCACTTATCTTGGAAGTCTGATCAGCCCTAATGAGTTGGTGTCTGACGAAATCTCTGCACGGATTCGAAAAGCTCGTTTGACTTTTGCCAACTTACGTCACCTATGGCGAAGGCGAGATATCCGTCTATCAATAAAAGGAGTATACTGCGCAGCAGTCCGTTATGTTTTAATCTATGGCAGAGAAACATGGTCATTAAGAGTAGAAAACACTCGTAAGCTACTAGTATTTGACCACAGATGCCTTAGAAATATTGCTGGCGTCTGCTGGGATCACCGGGTAAGTAATAGTGAGGTTAGACGTAGGGTATTAGGAAAGGATGGTAAATCAGTCGATGAGGTTGTGAATCTTCATCGACTGAGATGGTTGGGCCACGTGTTACGTATGCCCGAACACCGATTACCACGATGTGCGATGCTAACCGGTGTTGGAGATGGTTGGAAGAAAGTTAGGGGCGGCCAAACCACTAACTTCTAGTCTGAGACATGTTGGTAGATGCAGACTACTTGGTTGGGGTCCGCGTGACTATTGTAACCAATGTTTGGAGACTGTAGGTGACATGGCTCAGAATCGATCACAGTGGCGTCAGTGTATACACTCTCTGTCTTCCCTTAAACTAAGAGATTAAAATTACCCCATATCTTTCTTTTTACGAACTAATTGTTTCTTCCTGTACTTTATATTTATATGCAATCTTTCTTTTATATATTACCACCATTGAATTAATTACTTTTATGAATCTGGTGTTCATCTTGCTGTGCTAATGTGGTATGGCAACTCGGACTGATGCATATATGTGCCTGATCCTACGTTGCAGCTGACTGACTGACATAACGAGTGTATAATAAGCTAGACAGAACATAGAGAAGTTTTAGTGATGAGCAATATTGTGTTCCAATTTTATTTCATTCCATTGAAATGTATCAATATTTCTGGTAAATGAAACAACAGGAAAACAATACAGATTTTTAAAACATAGTATATAAAGTCTGTAGCAGTTAATTAAATTATGACTTACATCAGTTCCCACTAATTTAATATAACATTCCATTGCTTTTGATCCTGCTGAGTTAGCTCGAAATATCATAGATTCTTTTCCTTAATTTAAACAACAAAAAAAGGCAAATAGTTAATTGCGTTGTTTTTTTTTCAACAAAATATATTTTCAATAAACAGTGAATAATTGTCTATAACAGAGTTACATATATGAGAAAGAAATAATAGTCCGATAGTTTCTAGGTTTTGATGTTCCTTTAGCTAAATTCATACCAAGGTGTAAACTACAAATTAACAAATTTACACAGACTTCTTGCATTAAAGTTGATAATTTACCTGATAAAATATATTTATAAACCAATATAATACTGGTTATGATAAAGTAGTATGTTATAGAGTCTATAAAGTATTTAAAACAGAGAACATAATTTAGGGACTGATAACAAGAAGTGAAATAATTGACTAGTTCTAGGGAATTTCATACTTTATATGATCTCATAGTGTCACTGAAAACCAGACGAAAAGTATATTTCAAAGGTGAGTATATGAAAATCAAGGTCTATTAAATGACACACTTTCAACAAAACATTTTAACAGTATAGGGGTTGTGGAGATTATTATGTTATTGATTGAGATCATCAAGCTAATCCGTGTCGGGTACAGGCAGGTATCTACCTCAATACTATGGAAGATGATCGTGAAATTTTGTGGATTGGTTGATGGTAGACACTAACACCATCGGATGCCTACTCAGTGGTCCAGTAGGTTAAGCGTTCGTGCGAGACTGAAAGCACTGGGTTCGAATCCCGCGAGCGGGATCGTGGATGCGCATTGCTGAGGAGCCTCACAATAGGACGAAAAGGCCATCCAGTGCTTCCAGGTTTCCATTGTTGGTCTAACATCAATCGGTTCATGATCTCAATCAAAAACATTTAAAATTTGTATCACAACTAAATAAAAGAAGTTGTTGAACAATTTACTATTTTTCACATTGTATTGGACCGAATTTATACTTCCGTCATATTTATTTATTTTGAAAAATTAATTAAATGGACAACCGGAAGTGAATTATGATGATTCATAGGATGGATTACTGCCAACTAGACGTAATTTAAATTTTTATCATAATTCTTTAACTTATACAACATGAAAAAAAACAACTCTCCAACCAGATCATCTCTGTATCTTTGAAAATACCATCCCACTGAAGTTTCTGCATGTAGGTGTGGTTTGTATTTGGACCATTATAAGCAACAATGCAAGCATGTTCGGGATGCGATTCCCCCCATCAAAACGCAAAATGTTGCTTGAGGATTGGGTTGCATCGAAACCTGAACTAATGATAAGGAGTGAAGTAGTTGAGCGTGTCGATCACTTCACTTATCTGGGGAGTCTCATCAGCCCTTGTGGTCTGGTGTGTGACGAAATCTCAGCACGAATACAGAAGACTCGCCTAGCGTCATTTATAGCGTAGACGAGATATCCGTTTACCAAGCAAAGGACGGGTTTACTGTGCAGCAGTTCGTTCCGTCCTAATTTATGGCAGTGAAACATGGCCGGTAAGAGTAGAGGATATACGTAGGTTACTAGTATTTGATCATAGGTGTCTTCGAAATATTGCTCGTATGTCCTGAGACCATCGAGTAAGTAATGCAGTTGTTAGGAAACGGCTACTCGGTAAGGGTGGCAAATCAATTGATGAAGTAATGAAACTTCATCAGTTGAGATGGCTGGGACATGTGTTACGTATGTCCGACCACCGACTGCCCCGACGTGCGATGTTCAATGGTATAGGAGTAGGTTGAGAGAAGGCGAGGTGCGGCCAGACTAAAACATGGCACAAATCCATGAAGTCACTGACAAGTGGACTGAGTCATGTTGGTAGGTGTAGACTACCTGGTTGAGATTCCCGAGAAAATAGCAACCGATGGTTAGAGACACTGAATGACATGTCTCAAAATCGTTTGCAATGGTGCAGGTGCATCCACTCTTTGTGTTCTCCCAAATTCTAATCTTTTGAATTCTTCGTGTCTCTTTCTTTCCTCTTTCCAAAATTATTTCACTGGATTATACTTCTTGAATAATATCTTCAAACCCTAATCTTTCCGATTACTGCTCATACTCTTACCACCTCTACCACTACGGGATTTGAATCGACAATTATATTTGTGTGCTAATGTGGTATGGCAACTCTAACTGATGTACGTACGTATGAAGTTCTACGTTTTTACTGACTGATATTTGATCCAAGTATTGTTGTTTAATTTTTTGAACAGTTAACCGGTTTAGGTTAAAATCTGGAATGTTTTTTTCATCAAAATTATACATTATGAAAGTTTAAATTAAAATATGACAGTAAGATATTATGAAAATATTGAGATGAATTATTTCACTCATTTTTGTATTATAAGCTTTAGGTTACATGTGAAATAGTTCTATAGTGTATGTTGATGAAAACAAGTAGATTAGTTTCAAAATAATGATATTTTAAATCGTTGTACTAAATATATGGAACATGAAGTAAAAAACCCTATGTTGTATGTGATATTATTAAGCTAAGTAATCTTAGTATCCTCTGAAAGATGACTTATTTAATTCACAACTATCAAAGGTAAGTAATAAGGTACATTGGATGTATAAATAGATGTGGGAAAACTACTTGAGAATAGTTACAATTGTAGCTCAATATAATGGATAAAATAAATTCAGATAGATAAATCCTTGAAATAGGTATTCAGTTTGCTTCTTTAAACAAATGATAACATCAATATGTTTTTGATAAATAAATGAGAAATACTTATAAAGAAGACTTTTTTTGGGTGATCACTATCATATACAAAATGACAAATGCAATAAATGTTTGTTCTTTCCAGACAAATCAACATAAATATATATCCACTCTATTAAAATTAAGATATTCAGTAAAATCAGTTAGATAAGGATCTGACGTCAAGTATTTGTAATAGTCAGTCTTATATTTCTTTTTTCTTCTTGAGGTTATCTATAAATTGTATTCAAATCTTGTAATTGTACATAATTTGTTATAATTTGATTAACACATCTATGACATTAGTATATCAATATTTGATATTCTTGACGATTCTAGATATTTATTGTTTGTGGATGGTTAAGACGATATAATAGTTTGTTTTTAAGAATTAGCATTTGACAAACTTCATTAACACCGCTTGCAAAAGTTGAAGTCTATAACCAAAGATTCTTATTTATATTTCTATGAATTAATTATCAGATGAGTGAATATGTTATTTAGCTCATTTTGTTGATTTCTTTATTAATAAGGTTGATATGTGGTGTATGCTACTTATATTGACATAAGTATTATATGATGTTAGTCGTGAACAGAAGGTCTGGCAGCAGAGAGACAAGAGGATAGAACAGTAAAGAATGGAAACAGGATACAATTTGTATGAAAATGCAAGAACAATGAAGTCTGAGTCATTTTGAGACAATTGGTGGACATTTTGCAAATTAGGCATTTACTTTATGATTGTTAGATTTTATTAACAAGTCCTATAATTTTGTGTTAAATACATTCGATTGTTCCCACTGGTGTTCTTGTTCACTACAGATATAACAGAATGTCATGATTATATTAAACATAACAATATACTCACATGCTTTCTGTGATATAAGCAGCTTCAATAAATTACAAAGTTTCTTCAAGTGAATTCAATCAAAATAAAGTGAGAAGCTTAAAAAAGCTCCGAAATATTGATAGACTTATTCTACGGTGTGTTACCTTTCTAACTTCAATGTTAAATAATTAGTAAGCAAAATATTCAATTCTTAAACAGCAAGTTAAATATCTAGTTTAATACTAGTATAGGGGTTGTGGAGATTATTAAGTTTTTTATTGAGATCATGAACCGATTGATGTTAGACCACCGTTGGAAACCTGGAAGCACTGGACGGCCCACAATAGGACGGAACGGCCGTCCAGTGCTTCCAGGTTTCCAACGGTGGTCTAACATTAATCGGTTCATGATGTCAATAAAAAAACTAGTTTAATAATAAATTACCTAGTTAAAAATTAAACGAACTGTTTATAGATGTTTAGCTTTGAGAATAAATCGTTATCTTGACTTCGGGAATCGTCATTTAAAAACTATTGAAGACGAAAGGTATTATAAAACTATTGGGTATAATGTCGAAAAAGATGTCAGAAGTTACTACTATGTAACCAAATCTACCGAATAGATTAGTTAAAAATGATTATGATTTGGTTTTATATACTATTGTGTTTTATGAATCACATTAATTAATAACTAACTTATCTGTTTTCATTGTTCCTTTAAACACAGAGTATCATGAAAAACAAAGTTTTCTAATACATAATGTAATAAAAGAAAATAATGAAAAGAAAAAAACCTACCATTATTACTTAAATCTTCACGGAGTAGTACTGATAAAAATTCCGCTACAGATAAATCTGGTAACTTTTCAAAAATATTTACAAAACAACTGGTCAATTCTTCTTTTTGTTTAGCTGATAATTTAAGTTCCAAGTTTCTGATTAAATCTAAATATTTTGTTTTGATGAACTATAAATAAAAATAAAGTGTATAGATGGCAAACATTTAGAAGTATGATGTATTATGTATGTAGTAATGATGATACTAAGTAGTTAGTTTCAAAACAATTAACAGTGTTAAATAACCCGGATTACCTTCTCTTAGCGGTGGTGTTGTTTACGAAATTGAAAGGATAAAAAACGAATGCCCCTCGCCTTAACCGAATTGGTGGATATGGAGGATTCATCTAAGGGAGTTGGAAAACTCTGATTCCGAACCAATGGTGCACATGGGCTCTACTACCCTGAGGAAACAAATGGCATATGAATTAATTGTTGATCATCAGCTACCATGGAACTGCACCTCCTGACGTCGCTCCACTGCCTTGTGGATTAGACTTTTAGTTAGAAGACTTGGGGTGTGGACCTCCAAAAAAACCACCTGCTTCGGTTTGGGCACTCAGGCAGTATCACAACCTACACACAAATCAAGTTACTTGTGTGAAGCATATGTATCTACTGCCGTTTTGTACCAATATTTATGTGTTCAAATAAATAAAATAAATGACATAAATAACTGTTTACAACAAAGAATTTCAAGGGTATCAATCTCTCACTAAGTATGTTAATTTTTTCAAGATGATAGTTGTATAGTTGTATTTAGAAAAGAAAACTTACTATTCTTTTCAATTTGTACCATTAAGTCACAAAATTATCAAAAAATCTATAAAATTAGCTTTCAATCCGATCATATTTCTACTAGAAAATTAACCGAACTATCTAATGAGGATGATTCATTCTTTATTATTGACAAAATGGTTAAAGATAAACGACACATTTCTCGTTTATAATAAATGATAAATTTGCTTGGACTAACATTTGGACAAGGTCATGTATGCATCACTAATTTTCAACGTAATCTATATATATATATATATATATATATATATATATATATATATATATATATATATATATATGATGATGATGATGATGAAGACTACCTAGTTTCTATTTTTATGATTTTTGTTTTGTTAAACAAGAGAAAAAAAGTTGTTTGTTTTAATAAGAAAGAAAGAAATCCCCAGGATAACAACATATGCTGTTAATGCGTTGAAATTATTCTAGCCAAGAAAAACAGTTACAAAATCGTATATATGGTTGGTCTTATTCTTTAATGAATGCTCAAGTATTTATATGATAACATTACGGTTTATAATATTTGAATTAGATGTTCACATCAGGTTAAATATTTCAGAATAAAGACAGTAGACAGATAATCTCCCAATCTATCATCATAGTGGGAAATCAATCAGTCAGTCAGTTAGTAACAGCGTAGAACTTCATACGTACGGTACATCAGTTCGAGTTGCCATAGCACATTAGCACAGAGATGCAATTGTCGATTCAAATCACGTAGTGGTAGAAGTAATAAAATTATAAGCCGTAATCAGAAAGATTAGGGTTTCCCCATAGTGGGAAATAAAATAGACCACTTGGATTTACCTTGTATTTACTAAGTTAACTGCTTTTGTAAGGCTCGTTACATCAGGCGGATAGTTAAGCAAGTCAGACACAAAATTTCCGAATACCATCCTTATTAGGTTACTAAATAGTAGTTAGGGTTGATTAAGAGAACAGCATTTGGTCATTTAATCAAAGTTAAATAGGGTTGAACAAAACCTTTCGGTTTATTGATTGTATACTACTAAATTTGTCTCATTATATATGTATTCTTCTTTTGCGTATAGTCATAGCTTTCCGCATCCATCTTTACAAACCTGACCTCGTTCACAAGAAATTCGTTGAACCATTCATTTTATTTTGCTCACAAACAAAGGCCTGTAACCTATATCTTACTATTCCTTCTTCTAGGATTTCGCTAAAAATTTTCAATTTTCTTTGTAGCTTTTTTTCTTGCATAAGTGTAATGTTCTTCTTTTCGTTCTGATGAAACGACTATTAACATTTTACATCATAATCAAATTTTTCTAGTTCAATTGATATTATGCAATAAGTCAGTCATGTAACTGTGTATTCTATTTCATTAATTTATTTATATCTTTAAGTATTACGATTAGCCTACACACTTTGACGTTTTAACTAGTGTGTTAAGCACCCTGTGAGTTTGTAATACCGTTATTTAACATATTCACCATTTACTTGTCACCATTTTTACCCTTATTGTCAAATAACTTTATTTTAATTGAGGTCATGAACCAATCAATGTTAGATCATCATTGAAAACCTGTAAGCACTGGACGGCCGTTTTACCCTAGTATGGGACTTCTCACAAGTCCAAATCCACGACCCCAGTCTGAGGACTCGATCCCAGGACCTTTGGTTTCTCGCGAACGTTTAACCTCTAGACCACTGAGCCGGAATTCAAAGGTATTAATGTCTAACTTCAACGAATCCTACTTTATCTTAGTGAAAATTTCTGGTATAATAATAATATAATGAAAAGTCCTTTGAAAAAAATACATATTTCTTTCCTCTACTTATTGTTTGGGTAGTAATTTGATTGACATAGAAAGCTCACTTTAAATAATTTACCTTACATTTATACATTTTTATACAAAAATGCAACAAGTTGGACGATGTTTTTCACTATTTAACAATCAAATTTAAAATATACATAAGCTGTTTTATATATACATTTTCAATGGAATATATCTTGGGAATTTATTAATTCATACCATGAATAAACGTTAACTAGTTTCTATGTAAATGGGTATTGAGGTCGTTATTGAGGTTAAATGTAAACCGATTTTTCAATATGTTCAACATCTTGTTACGATATGTCGTGTTAAAGTGTAATCATATATATATATATATATATATATATATATATATATATATATATATCATCTGTGAGTATATAACAATCTAAGAGATAATAATCTTTATTTAATCCACTAGAAAACTTATAAACAGGGAATGTAGTGAATATTTGCATAGAAATACAGCATATCATTTTTGTTAAATCGATAAATCGTAATTGCTTACCTCTTTCAATTCATTATAACAAGCAATCGGTAGAATATCGACTGTTTGATAATGAATCATCATTCTTAGTTGAGGTAAAGAATTTTCAGGTAAAATAAAATTATTTGTAATTGAATTACTATTAGGTGAAAGATTTGGTGAAGTAGCACTTGATGTAGACGATGATGATTTAGGAATAATTTTATTAGTTTTATTAAAATTACTATCTGTACTGACACCAGCAGTCCATGAACATTTCTTCTTTGATAGTTCCAAATGGTTATACTTTAGTTCATTATCATCATTTAATTTATGATTACTATTAGTAGTATACTGTGAATTGGGTATAATTGAAAATGAATTAGAATATCCAAAACATGAAGCTGGAATCGAATGTTTACGAAATCGTCCTGATACACCATTTGAAGAATTAGTCGATGGTGTTTGATTTGTATCTGTTTGTTGTTGATGACGAACTTGTAAATTTTCTAGATAATTTAAATTTGAATTAATTTGTGGAGGTTGCATCGTAAACCATTTTTGTATCTCACATTGTTGTGAATCATCGTTTAGTGGGATAGTAACATAACCTATTGTACAAAATAAAGATATAGTTTTATTCGATAAGAGATCATCATCACAAAATAGCCAACTAGAGCAATTATGATGTGGGCTATTACTTAGTGCACAATAAATTCCGGTATATCAGTGCTATAGGAAGTCATACGAGGTCACAATGATTCAGTACTAATATCGTTTACTAAGGTGGTTGGGAATGTGGTATAAATCTCACTTGGAGTACCAGTTCACTCAAGATTTAGATATACCCTATTGCTTTGTAAAAAAAACCTTAGATTCAAGGCTATCTACTAATTATTGTCAACCGTCTAACGTGCCAAACGGAGTATACAGACGCAAAGAAATAACCAGTTGCAGAAAAAATCTTAAAGATACAGTGATTAATTAACTGGTGAGTAACTTTAAGATACCTGCTTCAATTCAAAGTAGGCACTGAAGATATCATCTGGAGTACTAACAAAAGCTTCCCAATTCCATGTTCGTTATCACTTGCCACCATTTTGACATAAGTGACGTAAAATTATCTTCACGTAGGGTGTCTTTTAGGAAAAAACCTTGTTTATTCAATATTGAAGAGCTAATATTAGGGCTGTGATATATCCTGAAGCACATTAAATGTGGGTATTTAATTTATGTAAATATTCAGTAACATGGTAATTTAACATGTAGAGTTCAAAGCCACAAAGTTTATCCACTTTTTCAATGTAAGCATTGAAATCCATGAATAATATTCATATTTGTTTTTGGAGGCTATAATCAAACTAAAACACTAATCTAAAATGTCTCTAGAATCCTACAATATCACATACCACTGTAGCTGCCGTTTTATATCTAGATGATGAAGTGACTAAAGTAGTAATCATCCAGTAAGAGAATCCTTTATATATAGTTGTGAATCAATTTCTACATACAATCTTTTTGTTAAAATGCACTTCATTTATTACTTTTCATTCTGTGATCAATAATCATTAATTGTGTGGGGATTCTACTGATATTTTAATAAAGTTTGATTTCCCTAGAACAAAATATAGTATTTAGTTTGGGTTGTGGAGATTGTTCAATTTCATTGAACCGATCAATGTTAGACCAGTGAAGTTCAACCGTGTTGGGTGTGAGAATACTATCTACTGAGGACAATCGAAATGGTCGCCCAACATCATGAATTAGCTGAATTAATACATTAACCCCATTGGATGACGGATTAGTGGTCTAGAGATTAGGCGTTCGTGTGTAAGACCGTAGGCGCTGGGCCCGAATTCCGTGTGTGGGGTCGTGGATGCTCACTGCTGGGTAGTCCTATACAAGGACGAAGCCGCCGTCCAGTACCTTCCGGTTTTCAAACAGATTTCTATGTACAACTTATAAAGATCAAATTCACCGGTCATATAAATGCCATTGTCAGTTGAAACTAGGATGTATTTTGAATTTTTATAGAAACGATGTAATTGGGCTTGACTTGCTTCTTTTTATATACAAGGAAGAACAAAACTTTACATACACACATAGAAATAATACGTACTATACCTTCCTAATATATTTTTGCTTTATTAATTTATACTACTAATAATGTAATTTTTCAATAACCAGCTTTAATGAAGAAGTTCCACATAAAAATATATATGAAATAGTTATATATCACATACCGATAAATTGATTCTGATTTTTATTCCTTTGTCGTTTGTCTTTTACAGAAGTTGCTTGCCTGAATAAATTTATTGTCATAATGGATATTATAGGCAAATTACTGTCATTGTATATAATAAAAGATAAAGTAAGGAATAATAATAAATGATCTTACTTTAAATAAATTAAATACATTGAAAAAAGAAATATGATAATCATACAAAGACAAATTGAATACAGGATTACCCATTAATTAAAAATAAAGGATAGATTTTGAATAGTATCTATGTCTATTGAATTATTTCAAATAATTGTCAAGCAGACTTCTTTCTTAGCCTTTATTAAATAGGAGAATATTCTCATTATTTATGTATAATCAATATAATTTTGGCATAAGTATTTTCATTTTTAACTTTAAAATACGAAACCTTTTGTATAAATACATCTTCATAAAGTAGATATAAGAATAATGAATGTAGAAATCTACTTTCACGTATATTCACTTATCTGTGGAATTTTTTTTAACTGAAACAAAATTAAATGGTTTAGAATGGAGCTGTTAACCATTTTAACTACACATTTGCTTGACCACACTGGGAGGTGTTCACAAGCCCGAATTTATAAATTCCTAAAACATCTGCCAATATAATAAACAAAATTTCATGTTCATACTTATTCCTATTGTTAATGAACAACTAAAATTCATTAAATGCTAACATATTAGTGAGTTAGATGTATGATAAAAGTTTTGTTTTAGAGAATCTGTTGTATAATGAAAATTGGTATTTATAAATTCGCTAATTGGATTTAGTTGTGTTGATATTAGCGTCTAATATCCATTTGTTATCCAATTGGTTACCATTCGAGAAAATAAGATCAAATGAAATTCATAATCAACTTGAATCAGTTAAATTATGTCCATGTTACTGATGTGTATTTATTTAGTGTATTCGGTAGTGAATGTTATACAATTCTGCCCTTAAATGCCCTGGTTCGTCCGAGAGTGGGGAGAGTTAACTTTCCCTCATGAAGTGCTCTCACATGGCCACGCGTATATAGCCTCTGCCAAGGAAGTCCTACTTATGAAATTGAAAGGACGAAAAGCGAATGTCCCGCCCTCTAACCAGGTTGGCGGACACGGAGAGTTTACCTAGGAGAGTTGGAATACTGTGATTCCAAACCGATGATACACATGGGCTTCAGTATCCCGAAGGAACAAATGGCGGAATCGCATCTTCTAACGTTGCTCCACTGCTTTGTGGACTAGACCTCTAGGTCAAACGCCCCGGCTGTGGCTCCCTAAGAAAGCCACCCGTTTGGGTTTTGGCACACGGGGAGTATCACAGCCTGCACACAAGTAGAATGATCTATGTGGCGCATATCTAGTTGGTGCTTCCTTGTACCAATATTCATTACTTGTGATAAGAGGAAACTCTATCATAACAGTTCAAATATCTTAAAATGTTATTGTAATTGAACTATATCTAGAAATAAATACTGTCATTAAATTGCCTGGATAATTGGATGTTATAGTGTAAAAATGAAAATAGAAATTAAGTAGAACTGTACATTGTACATTTCCATTGTTAAGAAACTGAATTTAATAGCAAATAAAATAAGATACTGACATAAATTCCACTCAGTTTTACTGTTCTCAAGTTGTCTAGGTAAAAGTTGCTACTACGTAAAAACGGTTAAATTATTGACTGATAAGAAATTATACAAAATAAATCTTTCGTATAGATTCTTCTGACTTTCGATTAAGTGATGTTTGTAAAGAATACTGGATATCAGAATAATGCACATTTTCGTACTTGGAAAACATTTTGATTACTGTTATATCCCGAGGAGAATTATGAATAGTAACTTTTGGAAACTATTTACGAACCAATACGATACATATATTTTTATCGTATAATTGTTAAGTAGTTAAACTATGCATATTCATGTTCCTCTTATTATAAGCTTTATTATTATATGACTTACCGTTCTTGGGTTCTACCCAGTCTACTAATTACAGTCTCCCACATTCACAGCCACTTTTTGCGAAATCTTATACAAATGTTATTTTCTATTTTATGGTACGATGTGATCTGTTCGGTTTGTATATAAACCCAGTATGTTTGAAATATATGATGCAAATCGCAGAGCCTGAAATTGGTATTCTGGACTTAACAGGCAGGGCTAGGCAGGAAGCAGGACCGATAAGGACTCTAGACTGCTCATATGGGTTTACGCATCATTAGTCCGGTCGAAAAATCATTGTTGTCTAATTGGTGGCATCATTACTTTATATATTAATAGGGTACAAGACCACAAGTTATAACAATTACTTCGTTTATGAGGTATCAATGTCTCGAACAATTGCTATGCAGGTTGAAAAATTAACAATTTAGTTCGTCCATATTTAATGTTTACATCAATATGAATACATATTCAAATAGCAGTATAACATTTTGGATTTCTACGAAAAGAAGTAAATTCAGTGAATACAACTTAAACTTCATGAGAAACCGTCTTGAAGTTTCTTGTTATTGCATTATTTTGAATATATTTAGGAATATAAGATAATGTTTCTTCAAATACATAAGTCATACCAATACATATAAAAACACAATTAGGTATGTTCATTTACTATATTTACCAGAAGTACTCGTCAACTTAACATTAGTTTTTACAATATAGAAAATATTTTGTGATATCTCAAAAGATTATGAATTGTTGAAATCATCAAATGATTCTCCAACAGTCTAACACAGTAAAGTAAGTAAATTACATTGGATTTTGCATCGACCACTGCGTAAAATAATGTTAACACTGCTAAATATTACTGTTAATGTATTTTAAGATAAAAACATCTTAACCAGATTTTAAGTAGAAAATTTCAGTTACCATTTCAAACTCTTCATACGTCCTATTTATAATCATAAATAATTTAAGGGATATTTATTTTATAATTACGATATATGTGAACATAAAGAATGGTCTGAATTATTTTTCTCTGGTTAGCGTCCTTTTACCGAGTTAGTTTTCTACGATATGAGGTCGTTAACCCCATGCCTAGCCCTCCCCCTTTATCCGGGCTTGGAACCGGCAGTAGCTCCAGACAGAGGAGGAAATCAGGAAGAAGGGCTGGAAGTGGATAGGACACACATTGAGGAAAGCACCCAACTGCGTCTCAAGGTAAGCTTTCATTTGGAATCCTCAAGGCCAAATGAGAAGAGGAAGACCAAAGAACACATTGCACCGAGAAAGGTAGACAGATATGAGAAGAATGAACAACAATTGGATAGAACTATAAAAGAAGGTTAATAACAGATTGGGTTGGAGAATGCTGGTCGGCGGCCTATGCTCCATCGGGAGTAACAGGCGTAAGTGAGTAGGTAAGAACATAAAAAGTCATAGAAAAAATATGTTATTTCATAGAAATACAATACCAATGACAAACAAACGTAAGTGTAAAAATGTGGTTATTTTAATTTGTTTAAAATCATATTTATAATGAAAAGATTTAGAAAAAATTTACAAAAAAATATTCGGTTATTTACTTTAAATCAAATTGTTCCCCCCAGAATACAGTTCCATCTGACAGTTTACTAGTGGTACGCGCATATAATGTACGATCCAAACATATTTCACAAAAGTATCTGTAATAATTAAATAATAAAATATTCTTATCTTTAAAAATAAAAAAACAATAACAGATGGATGTTTATTAAATAATTTTGTTGCGATGTCCATTTGTTGGATTGACAACACTAATGACTAATTACATGACATTTATTCATTCAAAAAAAGTAATAGGATAATATAAAACTAATTATTCGAAAAATATACATTTAATTATTATTTATGTTTTATTGTGACTTATCCGTTTATTTCGTGACAGATATTATGCTGCATTTTTGTCATAACCAACGAATAGATATTTTACATTACACATTACAACCCTAAACTGAAAATTATAATATGCTTATTAGGGACTAGATTTGAGAGAGAAGCTTTGGAGTTCTGGTAAGAAGCTATGACTAGTGAAGTTTAACCATCTTGAATGTGAGGAAATCACATATCGAAGACATTTGGAGCTAGTTGCGCAACATCGTGAATTAATTGTAGTTAGACATTAACACCATTGGATCCCGGCTCAATGGTGTAGAGATTAAGCGTTCTTGTGTGAGGCTGAAGGTGCTAGATCCGAATCTTGTGTGCAAGATCGTGAATGCGCACTGTTGAGGAGCCCTATACTAGGACGAAACGGTTGCCCAGTACTTCCAGGTTTTCAATGGTGGTCTAACATTGATCAGTTGATGATTTCAATGAAATTAAAAAATATTCACAATCTCAAACTGAAAACTAATAATTGTACTACAACTGAATCACATCTTAGGTTTGTATTTCAAGTAGTTGTTATCACAATATTAAAAAGAACCTATTAATATACAGGACTTGATATAATTTTAAATGTAAAAATCTTTTTTAATAAGTTTCTCTTTTGAATACGGGAAGTACAATTCAAAAATCTGGAAAAACCTCCCTAGTAATATCAACTAATATGCTCCAGTATTATCATGAACAGTAATTTCATTTCTTTATAAAAAACGAAATTACATTTATTTACTATTCATTGCTTGAAGATTATTAAATTACTGAAAATAATAAAAATGGAATATAGTTTGTTTTCTGATAAGTTCTATTTCGAGTTGATATCTTTGTATAAATCAGAAAGTAACTAATTGATATCAGGTAGGAATGAATTTGATCACGTGTGTAATAGTTGAATTATGATAAACAAGTTATGAACAAATTTTTTTTTAAAAAACTCGAAGTTGATAGTTTTAGATGAGACGATTAGTGACAAGAATCGAACTGCTGAAGAAAGTGGATTTTTTTATACCCATGTATATACATACAAATACTCATGAACAGATAATGAATTAGCTTCACATTTACCTTGATAACCATCTAGTTAGATAAATACTAAAAGAGATCTAAATTCATTTTTCTTTACTAGACTAGCTCAATATTTAGTTTCAGCCACAACGTAGGACCAGGCACATTTATGCATCAGTCCAAGTTGCCATACCTCATTAACACAACAAGATGGACACCAGATTCATAAAAGTAGTTAATTCAGAGGTGGTAATATATAAAAGAAAGATTGCAATAAGGATATAGTACACGAAGAAAGAATTAGTTCGTAGAAAGAAAAATATGAAGCAATTTTAATCTCTTAGTTTAAGGGAAGACAGGGAGTGTATACACCGACGCCATTGTGATCGATTCTGAGCCATGTCACAAAGAGTCTCCAACCATTGGTTACAATAGTCACGCGGACCCCAACCAAGTAGTCTGCACCTACCAACATGTCTCAGACTAGAAGTTAGTGACTTCAGGCACTGATGCCACGTTTTGGTTTGGCCGCCCCTAACTTTCTTCCAACCATCTCCAACACCGCTTAGCATTGCACGTCGTGGTAATCGGTGTTCAGGTATACGTAACACGTGGCCCAACCATCTCAGTCGATGAAGATTCACAACCTCATCGACTGATTTACCATCCTTTCCTAATACCCTACGTCTAACCTCACTATTACTTACCCGGTGATCCCAGCAGACGCCAGCAATATTTCTAAGGCATCTGTGGTCAAATACTAGTAGCTTACGAGTGTCTACTACTCTTAATGGCCATGTTTCACAGAGGTAAATTAAAAAAGAACGGACTGCCGCGCAGTATACTCGTCTTTTTATTGATAGACGGGTATCTCGCCTTCGCCATAGGTGACGTAAGTTAACAAAAGCCAGACGAGCTTTTCGAATCCGTGCAGAGATTTCGTCAGACACCAACCCATTAGGGCTGATCAGACTTCCAAGATAAGTGAAGTTGTCAACGCGTTCGACTACTAGTTAGTTTCATGTAGATCTTCAACTAGTATTTATACTTTAATGATAATTATCTGGTTTTAAGGTTTTAAGTTTAGATCCCTTGATAAGGTAATTCAAGTTATTAATATAAAATGATTTTTTAAAATTTACTTTAAATATTTACCACAATTTCTTATTCGATTCATGGAGTGTATATTTAGCAAAAACTGTAAAGAATCTAGCGAGTCCAATAAAACTCAAAAGGAAAAACTTTTTTTGATTTTCAATTAAAAAAATTATACCAACCGATTATCATGAGTTAGTTTAACTACAAGTATAAAGCATGTTTATTTCATAATGTTGAATGTGTCACTCAATTTTGTGGATTAGTTGAATTTAGACATTAACACCATTGGATGCCGACTTAGTGGTCTAGAAGTTTAGCATTCGCACGCGAGACCAATAATCTCGAGAAGTGGGATCGTGAATGCGCACTGCTGAGGATGAAACGATCGTCCGGTGCTTACAAATTTTCCATAGTGGTCTAGCATCAAATGACACATTATCTCAACTATTAAAATGGATTTTTTTGTTTGAAATCATTTAAGTTAATAATAGTAATAACTTTAACTGAATGTTTGCCAGTTTGTTTGTTTATTTTTACTCACAACATTTCCTTATTTTAGTAAAGTTGATTAGAATGGAGTTTAATGAGATTGTGAAAAAAAGGTTTACGACTGCATTTCAAGTCTTATTAATTTCCAGTTTAAAATCAAGATACATATATGTAGCTTAGAAAAAAAAATTAGATAGCACAGGTTAAATTTACGCTTGAAATAATCTGTTTCTGTTTTGTTACGTTTCGTAAGAGTTAAGTGTTCTTGTCTCAAACAAAAAAACAACTAAATAAGACATATTCAGATGACTAAATTGTCATGTTCAATTAACAAATTAATATGTTAAACATTACTCATTATGTAATCGAACTGACTTAAAACACTCAAAACAGAAATTAGGTAAGTTGAACGTTTCGCTTGCCAATTTCGTGTGGATTTCCCCAGGGAGATAATCAAAATTATTATTATTATTATTATTATTATTATTATTATTATTATTATTATTATCATAAATGTCAAAAATACAAATATGTACTTAATTGTTTTTGATTATTTCTCTTAAGAAGCTTAGACCACACTGTAGAATGAAACGTTGAAGTTATAAATTTTCAGTTGTTGAGATTTGTATATGTACAATTTTTAATTTTAATGATTTTTATTCATATACAGGATCTAACTATTATGAAACCTTTCGTTCAAATCCGGACAGAAGTTCTTATCAAACTATTTTTGTCTCAGAATAACTTATAAACAATCTTTTTGTATGCAAAGATGGATAATGGTTAGCAGTAGAATCCAGGACGCGAGTTTCATTCTATTTGGCACTCGTCAGTTGAATGCATCTGTATCCCAAAGTTCATGTTCACTGTAGGACACGAACCTAGTACCGTTTGCTTCAAACGCTATCGCATTATCCACTTAGCTACTGATCCCTAATGGCCACATGCTTATGCATTGGGGTGAATCTTAAATTCACTGGATGTTGTTTTATTTGTATCTTCTCATTGTTATTTAGGACTGCAGTTGATCCGTCTCGTGTTGGCATATGTGTGTTCCGTGCGGATTGCCTTGATATAGCCTTAAGTCATGGTGGTGGGTTCCAGTCCCGAATTGAACATCAACTCAAAGATGCAGGTACATTCACCTGAAGAGTTTAAGATAGGACGAAACGTTCTTCCTGAATTCCACTACTAGCCACTATCCATCTTTGCTTATAATGCTTTTGACTTAAGGCAATATCAAGGCAATACGCACAGGGTGCACATATGTCAACAAGAGACTGATGAATTGCAGTCCTAAACAATGGGAAGGTACAAGTAGAACAACGCCAAGTGAACTTAATCTTTTTGTATGTTTCATATTCATACAATGACTTCTATAAATGATAAATGATAACATAGATTCCTGACATTCATTTATTGCTGTCAAAGAAACTGTATTTTATAATTCTTTGCATTACGTTTAGTCAACTACTGTGATAGAATAAAACTACACAAAACATTGGAATGTATTTTGTCATTAACTTTGTTTGAATTAAGTATCTATTCATTAAGATTAATTTAATTTACAATGGATTAATTAGGCAAATTTTTAGACGCATATTTAAAAAAAAACTTAATGTTTGTTGTTATTGTATTGAATAAATAAATAAATCGAAAACTTGTTTTCATCAACAAGGAATGTTCCAGAATTAGTGTTATTTGTCTATTTTCAGCTTTATTATCAAAAAAGGACCATGGGTCTTTCTTTTAGTAGACCAAGTAAGAGATAAACTCAGTAGAGCAATTACTTTCTAATTTGTCTATTCATTTGAGTAAATAATAAACCAAATAATTTATTACCATTTAATAACAGTTGACTAATGAACTGATAAGATTTAGTAAATATTTAATATGAAAGTTTCGTTCATGCAAAAATGTATAATTGTGACACATGAATACTCTGTTGGGAAAGCGGATAAGAGGAAGGTCACAAAACAAATTACGTCGGGAAATAAAAGGATGAATAACAGCTGGAAAGAACTGAAAATGATTGCTCAAGACAGGGTTGGATGGAGAATGCTGGTGGGAGATCTATCCTCCTCAATGAGAAGTAACAGACGTAAGTAAGTATGAATACTCTATGCTGAGTAAATCTAAGTAAGTCATTATATAATTAGAAATTCACTGT